TAGAAATTTTGCCTTGGTCAAATTGAGAGATGTCCATTGAGTAATGGACTGCAGACGCTAAAATTGAAAGCTTTATAACAGACTAGAGAAGGTACTAGCAATATCTATCCATCAAGAGGCTCTAGTATTTAAAATATGCAGAGGGGAACCAAGCTGGCTCGGTCCATGCGACTCTTGATGTTGGGGTCATGTGTTTGAGCCCATTTTGGGTAGAGAGATTACTTAAATAAAAATAAATAAATAAGACTGGCCTGGGTGCATGTAAATGAGTTAACATCCCGACTTCAGCGGTCACACTGCCGGGTCCAGAGTCTGACCCCGTCCGTGTCAGGTTCTAGCGTCAGGCCATGACTTGGAGCCTGAGCCTGTTTCTGATCCTTGTGTCTCCCTCTCTGCCCCTCCCCCCCCTACAGCCTCTTGTCTCTGTCCAAAAATAAAAACGTGAAAAAATTAATAAAGCGTTGAAAAATTAAAATAAAATAAATAAATAAGAATAAAAATAATAAATAAAATAAAATACGCACAGAGTTTTATAAGTATGTAAGCAAAACAAAAATTAATAGAAAAATCAGGTAAAGGATGTGGACACATAAGTCACTGCCACTAATGGCTGAACAGTATATGAACAATGCTCACTTATCAGATGAAAAATAAATTAAATATAATAAGATACGAATTACATCCATCTAGTTTTTTCAAAGAAAAGATAATAGCATCAAATGGTGTAAGGAATGTGTTAAAATAAAGAAAATTTAGGATTTCTATTGAGATATTTAAATACTTTGGAGAGAAATTTGGTAATTCCTAGTTAAATTAAATATTTTTATGTTATAACTGAAAAAATCCTCCACATCTGTCTACTTTAGGTCTATAAGAGAAGGTGTACAAGGAAATTGACAACAACATTATTTTTAGTACAATTATAGTTCACTTGGGTGTTGACTACTTCCATAAAAAGGAAAAATGCACATATTGGAAATAGAACAGCAGTCAAAAAGAATGAAGTGGGTGTACACAGAAAAGCATGGACAGATGTTTAAGATTTAGTGTTTACATCCGATCTATAACACAATGACATTTATATAAATTCAACATCCAACCTTTTCTCACCTAAGCATACAAGTAGCTAAATAAGCATACTTAAGATTAATTAGGTGTATTTTAAGAATCCCGGAGTTTTTACTTTCTGAGGGAAAAGAGAAATAAGAGCGATATTGAGATACACAGAAGAAAGAATAAAAATAAATCAAAAGAAGGGCTTTCAAGAGACAGATGACAATGACACATCATAGGGAATATAGTCAATGGTACTGTAAAAGCTCTGTATGGTGACAGATTGTAGCTACACTTGTGGTGACCATAGCATAATGGATAGGCTTGTCGAAACACATTGTTACACATCCGAAACTAGTGGAAATTTATCTGTCAACTACACTCAAATAAAAAAAACTAATGAAAATAAATATGTAATAAAGAAACCAATCATGTTTCCTCCAATTATGGAAGAGTATGAAAAATTCACATGAAGTTCAAAATGAAAGTTAAAAAAAAGAACAATCATGGTTCCTAATACACAGTTATACATACATCCTACTTAAATTTTTCTCACTAAAGGGAACATTTCTATTGACTTTTCTCTCTGAAAAACATACTGCATTTTCTCAGGAATATGGTTTTCAGGTTTCTCTTGCATTTTCATCATTATAATGCAACGAGAAAAGTCACGATAAGTTAGTATGAATACATTCATTAGGATGGTTTGGAGGGTACCTATCTAAAAATTGTGTTCTGGAAGCCCATGAGAACTTCTGAGCGAGCTTATTGGACCCATGGAGGGCACCGAGTGTGCACATGCAAATACTGTGAACATGGATGGATTGATGTAAGACCTCTACCCCCAGGAGACTAACTGCGTACAGAACACAGTCCATGTTGGGCTGGATTACCAGAGCTCCTTCCTTTTAGAGAGAAATAAAATCATTTGCTTCTTCTACCTGCCTGCCTGTCTGTCCCAGGAGGACATTCTAGGCACAAGGAATTAGGGATGGAAAGTTCCAAGAGGGCAAAGTCCCTAAGGCTCTGGAGTTATAACTATCCACAGATACTTCAGGAACTAACTGAAACTCCAATATCAGTGGAGCCAGACCCCTGCTCCATGCTCTGTAAGTGAGTCTGAGTAGAGGGTGTCTGAGACACAGCTATACCAAAATTAGCCAGAGCATAGAGGAGATCTTTCTCTTTTGTCCAGATCTGTGCTCCATTCCATTCCTGAGTCAGTATTGATGAAGTAGTCTGAAAATAGGGCAGTAAACACTGCATCCAGTCTCGGGTCAGGAGGTACATGTGATAACCTGTGCTCTGAGACCTTTCCTTTTGCCCTCCTCTTGCTTCTTTGGATCTTTTCCTGGGTGATGCCAGATATGCAGAAAGTAGGAATTTCTTCATAGGAGATTAATGAGTGGAAGGGGTCAGGAAAGCATATCATTTGGAGCTCAGATTAGAAATTTTTGGGTTTTCATCTGTGAATATGAAAATTTAGGAGTTATGGGCAAAGAATCTGTCCATAAATGCTTGAATCATGACATAGGAACTAAATTTAATCTGTACAACTACAGGACTGAGGACACAGACATAGTTGGAGCGTTAGTGAGAGTCAGAAGATAGTTCCTCAGATTTCAGCTCAATCTAAAGAGTTTCTAAAATCTACTGCTGCCACAAACAGAAAATTATGCACAGATCATAGAGGTATCTGTCACTGTTCAGATCAATGATGTCTGAAAAAGTACTTGGGAGAGATGTCTCACAATTCTGTCTGAGTTTATGGAGTTAGGTGGTCCCTAAAAACCCTTCCCTTCTTCAAACAGGGCTTCCATAGTGCTATGCTGGGGCCTGTCCAGCAGCCTGGGAAAAAGTTTGCCCTGCAGGGTCTCTGCTTTTGTCATTGCCCTTCAACCTCACTTGGCTTCTTCATTCTGTCTCTACCTGGAACCAGTAGTTATTAGCTGTAGGTCCTCAGCCCTCATGCTTCATTGGCTAGCTCTGATTGCAATCCAAGATTGAAAGAGAGGAGAAGAAAAACATACATGGTCTCAGATGCTTTACTTCTAGGGTAGGTCAATGCTTGTTGAATCAATTGTAGAATGAAGAATATGTAGGAACATTCCAGAGAAAAGAGGAGAAAGAGTCAGTAAGTAGAAAGAACAGATAAAAAAAAGTCCTCCTAGGCTGTCCTCAGAAATTCTATCCTGGTGCTAGACACAATTATCCCAAAGTACTTCAGGAGAAAAAGAGAACATACTTCTTCCTCTTTACTTCTCCATGGATACTCATGTCTGAATTGCCATTTCTTCCATGTGGCTGTACTCTCCAAAGCCCATTTCAAGACTTTTACCTCTGTGCATTCAAAGAAACCCTAATTCGTTCCAAGAATACTCTGACACCCTTGAAGAAGGAAAACTTCTTGGAGATGGTAAGATTTGTGTCTCTCTTGCAAGGGTTAGTTGAAACAATTCTGTAGAGAGTAGAATCAGAGAATATAGTAAGCAAAGATCAAATGACTAAACCTAAATGATGAAAATGGTGTTTAGGGTAATATTTTAAATTCAGCAGCCTGATATTGTACATGCTGTGGGTCACTGTGGCAAAGACTGGTCTGAGCTAGTGCTATTAGTTATGCCTCAAACCTATATGTGAATGAATCCTATGAGAAGTTTGACAGAAAGACAGAGTTCAATGAACATAGCGTTCAAGACAGGAGAAGGACCTTAGGTCAAAACTCAAGGTTCAATGTTTTTTCCTATGGGTTTTTATCTTCAGAAATCTCCTGAACTTCCAGTATCTCCCAGCCTTTGTGGCCACTCCACCATGGCAAAGCATAGAACTACTAGACAAGAAAAAATGGATTATTATATTGAAGATATAAAGAGAAACAGAAAGGGGATAAAAGAACTTTAAAGGTAGACTTTATCACCTTCACACTATTGCAATCAGAATAATCAAATTTCATCTTGTTCCATGACTGGTATCACTCTCTCATACCTATGTGTTATTGCCTAGGCTCCTTTTAAGACTCTTTCTTCCGGGGCGCCTGGGTGGCGCAGTCGGTTAAGCGTCCGACTTCAGCCAGGTCAATTTATCTCGCTGTCCGCGGAGTTCAGCCCCAAGGCCAGGTTTCTGGGCTGATGGCTCGGAGCCTGAGCCTGTTTCCATTCTGTGTCTCCCCTCTCTGCCCTCCCCCTGCTCATGCTCTTGTCTTGTCTGTCCCATAAAATAAAAACGTTGAAAAAAAAAATTTAAAAAAAAAAAAAAAAAAAGACTCTTTCTTCCAAAAGTTAAGAATCCTACAAATATAAACATGTATAGGGGAGGGGCAGTTATTTGGCAGGACCATACCAGCCTAATTACAATCACTTTTTAGACAAAATGAAAATTATCCTACGTTACTTTCAGGGTACCATTTTAAAATATAATTAAACTCCATTTGAAAACTCAGAATGGGGGTGCCATGAACAACTAGGGACATTCACCTGAGTCCCTATTTGTGCCAGTTTCAACTACTCACCTGCATACATTGTTATGGTTAAATTATTATATAGTAGTCTATGTGGCCATTAAAGAAAATCAAAACCCAAAGGAAGAAACCTGTAAGAACAAATTTAGCAACTCACTGGTCACAAAGTGGTTCTAAAGTAATTTTGTCCCTCTCTTTACTTTTGGCAAAGATACAACAATTCTATTAACAATCATCCTTGAAAGAATCAAGCATGTATAAGTAAACCATATTACCTCAGTTCTCTATACTGTTCACTGGTAAAATCATCCAAGTAGCAAGGCACAAAAGATAAACAGATGAATTCACATGGCTCTGGATAACCCGAGGCTTGTGCATTTCACCTAGGTGAAGCAAATTTTTCTAAATCCAGGTGTCTTGAGTCAGTATCCAATTTTTATCTTAATTTTACAGATCACTAAATGAAATCTATAGAAATACATGACAAAATATGACAGCGCACCAAAATGGCACCATCTCCTCTGAGATTTCAGACTTCCTCCTGAATTGTTTTGCCAGGTCCCCTAGCTGGAAATTCTGGTTGTCCCTGCCCCTCAGCCTCCTCTTTCTTTTAGCCATGGGGGCCAATAGTGTTCTCCTGATCACCATCCGGCTGGAGGCATCTCTGCATGAGCCATTGTACTACCTGCTCAGCCTCCTCTCCCTGTTGGACATCATTGTCTGCCTCACCGTCATCCCCAAGGTGCTGGCCGTCTTTTGGTTTGACCTCAAGTCCATCAGCTTCTATGCTTGCTTCCTCCAGATGTACATCATGAACTGCTTCCTTTCCATGGAGTCCTGCACATTCATGGTCATGGCCTATGACCGCTATGTAGCCATCTGCCACCCACTGAGGTACCCATCCATCATCACTGACCAATTTGTAGCCAAGGCTGCTGTCTTTATTTTGGCCAGGAATGGCATTTTAACAGTACCTATCCCCATTCTATCATCCCGACTCCATTATTGTAGGACAAATGTCATTGAGAACTGCCTCTGCGCCAATATGTCTGTCTCCAGGCTCTCCTGTGATGATGTCACCATCAATCGCCTCTACCAGTTTGTCATAGGATGGACCCTGCTAGGATCTGACCTCATCCTCATCTTTGTCTCCTATACCTTCATACTGCGAGCTGTGCTGAGACTCAAGGCAGAGGGTGCTGTGACCAAGGCCCTGAGCACATGTGGTTCCCACTTCATCCTTATCCTCTTCTTCAGCACCATCCTTCTTGTCTTCGTGCTCACTCTTGTGGTGAAGAAGAAAGTCTCCCCTGATGTGCCAGTCTTGCTCAACATCCTCCACCATGTCATTTTCTCAGCCCTCAACCCCATTGTGTATGGGGTGCGAACCCAGGAGATCAAGCAAGGAATCCAGAGATTACTGAAGAAAGTGTGGTAATAAGGACAATTGGATCTCTGCATTCCTCACATAAAATGAGTTTTGAATCAATAATGGGTGAGTGGGCTTAATCATATCTATGAATTGCAATCTCAAAATGGGTAACTTGAATATTGTGTCTTCTTTAAAAACTTAAGCTTCACTGTTAAGTTTCCCTTTTCTCACTTCTCCTTTAGGAATATCTTTTGCCCCTTTTGCCTTTTCCCATACATATTATCCCATATTGACAAAATACTGAGATTCCTTGGGGAGGTTCCAAAACGAGAAATTTATGTTCCTGAATATACAGCTGTTATTATGTCATGCCTTTACATTCTTAAATACACAACTGTGGCTATTTGGTGGTAGAGTTGTGTAACATGTAATGGATTCTTACTTTTATTTGTACAGAAGGGATCATATTGGAGAAAATGATATAGCAGTGAAATTTCACTCCTGAATATGGAAGGTTGCTACTTCTCTCTAACTGGGTCTGCAATTGGGTGATCATTCTAAATGAGCATTGCAAGAGGACAGGGTTTTTTTGTCCTGGATTTCTCATTTGTGCAACAATTATCAATGAGGTTGATTATAGTTAAGAGACTCTTAAATTCTCCTCCTCAATGGATTTGTGCTTTGCACATTTATCTTTTCAATCCAGAGTGTCACAGTTTAGTTCAATCTAGGGTGTGCAAAAATAGTTTAACTAATGAGTTAAAGGTTTCAAAGATTGTGTATATGATCCAGTAATAATAGTTTAAATATAAAAAATATAATATCTGAACATTTTTTTCATATTAACTGAACAATTTCTAAGAACACTTTGTGTCCTGGGAATTCTGTTAGCTATTAAAACTCAAAAATATATAGAAAAATGTGGCTTTTGGGAGCTCAAAGTTTTCTTAGGAGGAATAAAATATGAGTTCCAGGAATATATTCTCAATGGGAAAGAATGGGGAATGGGGTAATGTACCTACTGGTAGTAGGGTACCTGGAAACTTAAGAAAGCACTGGATAGAGAGTTAAAAGTCTGAATTACAAGCCTTGAACAGCTACCAAAAAAGGATGGGTTCTTGGAAACAAATGAGGTGGTCTCATTGTGTTTCATGTTACTCATCAGTTACTCCTGAGAATAGTGAACAATTGTTTTAGAAAACCCTTTCTAAATATAAGCTTTTGTGCCTCAGTAGCAACCTATAAGTAAGTGTCCTTGTTTATACCATGAAAGGAAAATCTCTAAACCATCTAATGCCAAAATTGTCCCCCAAATCTAGGTCTTTCAGCCTTCACAGAAAGCACCTGGATTCATCCTTGACCACTTAAGCTTTCATTCAGCACAAGTCTGTTCATTTATTTTAGTTCTCTGCCTCACAGTGATGAATAACAAGTTGGTATTTCATTCCTCTGCTTCTGGTTATCACTATGAACTACTATTTGGAAAGTAAACATGTACTCACATAATTAAGAAGCAATGGTTAAAAGCATACAATCAACATTTTAACTGGGAATAATATATTTATCAAAGGTAAAAAAAGAATGTCAAGATCTAATTAGGTTCATACCATAGATAACTTTTTTCTTTCTTACTTGAAAAAGAATTCCCCAATATCTCATTCTCTCACCCATTTCAACATAAGAAAAATGACTTTGTTGAAAGTGTGCATAACCAACAGAAAGGTCTTACAAATATGAAGAAATAATACGTTAAGGTAAATTGAAGCTACTATCTCTTAGGAAATATGACAAGTCTACTAGTTTAAACACTATCATATATTAACATCTGCTCATTAAGGGACCAAAAACTTTCAGGACTAATCTCTACCAGAATCACATTGCATAACAAAACCAGATCTCTCCTATCAGCTTTCAAAAAATTTGAGCACTGTATGTATAAAAAGGGCTACATCAGTGTCCAAATTAGACTGATAAAATCTTTGTATTTAAAACATATATTTTTGTTAAGTACTGGGTGTTGTATGTAAGTAATGAATCTCTAAATTCTACATCTGAAACTAATATCACACTGTGTGTTAACTAACTGGAATTTAAATAAAAACTTGAGAAAAAAATGTTTTGAAAGCTTTGCTTTATTGTGTTTATACACAGCTTTTACAGGTTTATGGCTCACATCAAAGCAGTATTGACAGATCCATTTGATAAACAAGGGGAACAGATTAACGATGGCTTTATCCCATTAAAATAATTGATACTAATAAGTATCTCTTCTAGAACAATGTTGTCCAATGTGAGCCACACACACATACTTAATTTTAAACATCTTAGAAGCCACATTAAGATATAAAAAGAAAAACTAAATGGATTTTAATAATTATTTGTTGAATCCAATATGTCTAAAATACTATCATTTCAAAACTTAATAAATATGAGAATTTAATAAATATATCTCGTTCTTTTTTTTTGTACACTAGATCTTCTAAATCGAGTGTGTACTTTACATTTATAGCATATTTCAGTCAGGACTATCACATTTCAGGTGCTAGTAGATAATCAGGACTATCACATTACATGTGCCAATAGATACCATATGGATCAGTGTAGCACAAGACATATGGATTTAAACAGCAAATGAAAAATGGCTATGAGAGAAATGAATTGAGGAAAAACATATCCTTCTTGGGAAAGAGCTAAGCAAAATTCTTTCTTCTTGGCTGTGTTTTTCTCTTTTTTATGTTTTTCCACACGGAGGAAAGGAAGCCAGTGTTTTAGAAGATGAATAATGACTTCTTTGTCCTAAGATGCTGCGTTATATGAGTGCTTATGGCTTAGAAACCATTTCTAAACCAGTGTGAGAGGGTAAAATAAGAGAAGGCTAATCTACTGGCTTTATACAACACATAGTCCTCGAATCCTGCAGCAACAGATTTGAAATAGAGCTATGCTTGCCTTGGAAGTAACAGAACCTAAGAAAAAATGTAAATAAAGACTTTACTCATGATAAGGCAAGAATCTAAGTGCTAGGGGAAGCAATAGATGTTAGTGTCAAAGGTTTATAAAAAGATAGATGATAATAATCACACTTTGTAAGACTTTAAACTTTTATTATCAGTATTTACATGTACTTATGTAGGAACATTTTTTTAAGTTTATTTATTCTGAGAGAGAGAGAGAAAGTGGGGTAGGAGCAGAGAGAAAAGGAGAGAGAGAAACCCAAGCAGGCTCCACGCCATCAGGGCAGAGTCCAACACATGGCTCCAAATCATGAACGGAGAGATCATGACCTGAGCTGAGATCAAGAGTCAGATGCTTAACTGGCTAAGCCACCCAGGTGCCCCCATATTAGTATTTTAATTCGTTATTTCGTGCCCTATTATTTTAATAAAATATATTTAAAATAAATTTTTT